ATAGCTTGTTTGAGCATTAACCATGATTAGAGAAATAGCATAAAGAGGAAAACTAAAGGCTGATGATGTCATCATCATCAGCAGTTGATGATGATGATGATGATGACAATGATAATGATGATAGTGATGATGATGATAATAATAATGATGATAATTATGATGACGGTAATCATGATCATGATAATCATGTTGATGTTTATAAACGCATATATACAAAATCAAAAATAAATTTTGAAGAAAAAAATGTACTTAGGGATGCATAAATGGTTATGCATCCCCCGTCACAAACCCAGCCTCAGCCCCAGCTATATTTGTCAAACTCGGCCCCAGCCCCGGTCAAATATCAACCCCGATTGTTTACTATTTCTAGATGTATATCAAACAATGGGGGTATTTTCTAAAGCATTTTGAAATACAGTATAAAAATAAATAATGTAATTTGAAAATAAATAACTTGAAACTTATTACATCTAAGTTTCAAAAATTGCTTTTTTTTTAACACCTCTTCCAACAAGTCTGCAAGCAACTATTAATAGAAATGGAAGTTACTAAGCAACCACTATTAGAGTTGGAAGTTACTGGAAGGGAAAAGATTAAGTTTTTAAAGCAAGATAACAGTTAATAGACGACTTAAAAGATTACAAATTATATTAATCAGGAAAATAAAAAAAAGGGAGCAAATTCCGAAGAACTGATGGTCGAGGAAAAAAACTAGACTAATAAGAATTTTCAGAGCACTAAAGAACAGTCACAGTAAAAGGACTTAATTGAATGACGAGTAACTTTAGTAGATGGCGCAACAGAAAAAAGAAAGAGAAGCAACATTAAAATAATGTGACAATGATTGAGGGTTGGCTGCAAGTACAGGTCCAACTATGTTTACAATGCTTTTTTTGAACCTTGTCTAAAAAAGTGCTTCATTCGAAGATCCGCTCCAGATATGGCATTAGTATTCCATTCAAGGCTAGATTTGAGATTTATAGAGATCAAAAGATAGAATCTGGAGTTAGAATGTGGTGTGCACTATAAAAACCTTAGCAGATATTAATTATGGAATGGATTTGATATATGGTTTTCAAGAAAGATCAGAAGTAAGAGTTAATCTTAGAAGACTAAAGGTAGATAACTCATTGAGTGCATTACTATTCATAAATATAGGAAGATCTAGATTGATGTGATATCGATTTGCTGAAAAAAATTGAGTTTTTTCTGTGTTAAAGTTCACCAGCCACTGAGAGCCCTATGCAGAAGTGAGATCCTTTTTGAACTCTAATGCCCCCTCCAAGCAATCAGTTGTTAAATGTTGCTCAACAAGTTAATTATATGTTGTCTTGACAGTAGATAACTCTATGTTTCAGCCTTTATTTTCTGCCTTAAAATTCTTTATATTATAAACTACTGTATCTTCTGCATATATTAGAGGAAAGTCTTCACAAAACAAAAAGTATACGTGTCTAAAGCATTTTATTTTTATTTTTTTTATTATTATTTTTTGTTAATTCACCTCCCCAAGGCTGAGAAGACCACTACAGGCGAGGAGGCTACTTAATTGTGGTTATAACCCTCTCTTAACTCTATAACTTCGAAACATGAACCTTGTCGAACAAGGCCGCTGCATGGAGAAAAAAGTTGAGCGCTGTACTACCAGGGGCGTTGTGGGGGTCAAATTCGGAACCTCTCGCCTATAAAGCAAGTACTTTACCACTACACCACTACCACATTTATAAGGGTTATATGAGTAGCATTCTAGCCTTTAAAAAATGAAATATTTGTATTTTATGATCATTTTGTAGAGATTCATTTTCTAAATAAGATAAGTATTTTTTTTTTAAATAAATATTTTTCAAAATTATGAAATTTTTAACTGTGTAATAAGCAGAGTTGATATCAACTGATATAAACCAATTTGTTTAAACATATCATGATATGTTTAAACAAGTTGGTTTAAAACATTTTAAAAACAGTAACTGTTTTTAAAACTAACTTGGCTTTTAACTTGGTTTTTGAAACCAATTTGCCTTAAACCAACTGAGTTGGTTTAAGCCAAATTATTAAAAAGCAAAATAAAACAAGATAATAAACAAGTTTACAAATTTAATTTAAATTGTAAATGTTTAATATTAATGTAACTATTCACAAGCCTAAAGATACTTCTAAAAATAAGTTTACTAACAGGAAAATATCTAAAATTTTGGAATTTCGGAATTATAAAAGAAGTTTTTTTAATTTTTTATCTTCTGATTAAGGAATTACATGAATTTTTTAAACTAGCAGGATCATATATTTAAGGGTGAGAAACAACTGATAATGGAGGGTTGAGTTAATAGAGGTTGAATAAGCAGCAAATCTACTCTTTTTCTATCAAATGTTTAATAATGATATATTGACAAATATTGATGAATTATAATTGAAATATTGATAGACAAATTTTGATGAATTATAATAGAATATTATTTAAGAATAAACGGTATTAAAAACAGTGTCTATAATAAAATTATACAAATATTAAAAGAAATAATTTGTGCAATTCACTACATCCGCAAATCTAACTTTAACTCTACATCAAGTTAAAAGTGAAATGTTTGGTTTGAATGCTCTAACGGGAATCAAAATACCGTCCCATCTAATAATTGTTATATTAAAAGAGATACAAAAAAATTGAAAACATTAAAAAAGTGTGCAATTGCTCAATAATTTCAGCTAATAACTGAAAATATTGAGCATTTGCACGCTGTTATTCAATAACGCTGTTATTGAATAAAACCCTTATGCAGTACATAATACAATCGAAGTCCAACATCAATTAATCATTTTACAATCAAATGTATTAATCATAAAACAAAAAAACGAGCATCATACCTCACAAATTAACCAATCAAAATTAAAAAGACATACATAACATTCTTATTCAAAAATAATATATTGAGGCTATATATTGTTGTTACAGGAGTAATGGTTGTGGTTTTATTTGGAACAAATTAAACACATGTCAGCTATTGCTATTTGGTGAATATGAATGTTGTTGAACTATGTAAGACAAACAAGGGTTTGTAGAACGATCATGTTTTATATCTAAAAAAAAAAAAAAAGGAAAAAAAAATGTAATTCATTTGGATATATGTTAAAAGGGTAACAGCTTTATTAGTCATTACTGTATCAAATATTGTTTGTAATAGTAAACTTGTTTATAAAAAAAAAGTCAGCAAAAGTTGTAACATTCAATATTTATTGATTAAAAGATGTTTTTATTGATAACATGACAACATGATAACATGACAACATGATAACATGACAACATGATAACATGACAACATGGTAACATGACAACATGATAACATGACAACATGATAACATGATAGCACTTAATTTCATCTTAAAAAGATGAAATTAAGTGCTATCATGTTATCATGTTATCATGTTGTCATGTTATCATGTTGTCATGTTATCATGTTGTCATGTTACCATGTTGTCATGTTATCAATAAAAATATCTTTTAATCAATAAATATTGAATGTTACAACTTTTGCTGACTTTTTTTTTATAAACAAGTTTACAATTATAAACAATATTTACAATTATGAACAATAACATGACAACATGATAACATAACAACATAATAACATGATAGCACTTAGTTTCATCTTAAAAATTAAAGCAACTGTTATTAACACTGAAAACTGTTTTACCATAAGTAAGAAAGGAAATTTTCTGGTGAAGAACTTTTTCAAAATTAGTCAAAAAAAGTAAAAAGTTAAAAATGAAAACTGTGAACATGAATTTGAATAAGTTACGCTAATAGTTATGGCAAATGGGGCTTTTGTTAATTATGTCTAAACTGAACAATGAGTTTCTATAAAGTCTTTATTTAAATTTTTATGATTATTAACAAATAGGTTCTGATAAAAGATATAGCTTAAAAAAATGTGTAAAAAACATTAACAATCAAACAAAAGGTTCAAACAAAAGGTTACTGCAACAACATGAATCAACTCATCAAGCTATCTGATTGTGGCTTTTATATAATTAGAATATATGCCGCCACCAGCACCAATTTCAGTAACACACCATTTCAGTCACTGTCTACTGAATCAATACTAATAAAATTTAGCATCAGCTATAAAGTTAATTCACCTGCAACAACCTTCAGTATTGTAGTAACTCTAACTATTCAAAATTAAATTCAAAAAGAAGTCTAAATACAATTGCTTTCAACCCAATCGCTTGTCACAGCTTTGCAATATGTTTTGCACCAAACACTTTCAGCAAAGTAAGCTAGGGAACAACATAATAATAACTTTGATAAACATAATAATAACTTTGATATGAGCATCAAATAAAGCAACAGCAACAAATCCAAAAACATCAGCAAGTGTATGAAGTGCAGTAAAGTTTTTGGTAAAGCTTATATTATTTTTTTATATAATATTTAGCTTTGTCGAGCTAACCAAATTCATATGTTGAAAAAAAATTAAAAAAAAAAAAAAAGATATAAAAAGCATTTATTGCACCATAAAAATGATGAATTGTTAAATTTTAAGTTGTGTACTACTTTTTCATTTTTTGAAAAATAGTCATAAAAAAATCAAATCCACTAACATCATTACAAGAATTAATTTTTTTAATTAATTTTTAAAATAAATTTGATTTAAAAAATCATAAAATTTGTTTTTAAAAGTTTTATTTAAAATTCTCTAGAATTTTCTTTAAGAAAATTAAAAAATTTTTTCCTGTAAAAAAATTAAAACTTTTAATTATATTTTATTTATATTAATTTTAATTATATTTTATTATATTACCCCAATTTCACTTTAAATGAAGATTTTATTGAAATAAGTTGAATTATAAATTTGGAAACTATTAATTATCAAGTTATTTCACAAAATTTAATGCATTTCTCAACTTTCAATGTTTTTCAATTATTTAGATTTTTTTTAATGATTTTTTTTTAATTATTTCCTTTCATTGTTATATTTTTTTAAAGTTTTAAAACATTTTTTTAGCTCAAGGTTTTTAGATGCGTACAATTGCGCCAACTTAACTTGCAAGAGTATGCTAGCAAAAAATTATTGGCACATTATGGTATCAACATACAAAAGTTTGATGTGGCAACTACCCCAAAGGAAGCAGCTAAAATTGGAAGATCTCTAAGTAAGCATTAAATTTAGTTTTGTTGTAGTCTACACTTTAAAAGTGTAATTTAAAATTAAATTTAGTCGTTGTATCCTATTAAGGCAGCCACATGTCTTTTTTTTTAATATAAGATATAATTATAATAAAATTACCAGGTAGTCAAGTATACTATAATTGCAGCACAAAGTGAGTAGTACAATTTTATGTATTAACTTTGAGCTTAAGTTATTCTAATCAAGATAATTAAGTTTTCTTTGGTATTAAAGGGATCCCAAAGTGCCGAGACAAGTTGTGTTTATTTTAAAGAGAATGATAAAAAAAACATGTTTAGGCAGAATTTTTTTAAGTAAAACAAAATAATAAATGTATACCAACAAAAACAAACTTTTTTTTGTTGGTATACATCAACAATGTTGCTTCAATGATTTCATTTGGTAACAAATTCCAATTTTTACAAACTCGATTGGTAAAGAAATTGTATCTCGGTAAACATGATGGTACGTATTCTCTTTCTAGCGCGTTTTATTTCAAAGAGTTTTAGTAAATGATGTCAGTGTAGAATTTCGTTAAGAAATCTGAAAATTCTTTTTTAATCAAATTATAGAATTTTTTAAAATTATTATTATAGATGACTAAAGAATATTTTTAGTTACTTATTATATAAAAAAAAATTTTTATTATAAAATACTGTAGAATTTCTTTAGTTATTTTATTTTCTAACTTTCGCAAAGCTCGCATTAAAAATATAAAGCGTTTCAGATATTTTAAACTCATCTATTGCTATAAATTATTTTTTGTGTTATATTTATTGTTATTAAATGATTATCATCCTTATTCTGTTTTAAAAAAAAATTTGTATTAACACTAGTGCAGGCCGCTAACAGTGGCTTTTGATTTTTTTTTAAATTTTTACTGCAAACTACTGTTTTTTTTTGGTCTCAAAAAACATTCTCTTTATACATTAAATGAGTTTTCTTTTGGAAATGTTTTCATTACTATTTATAAAAATGGTTTTAAGCACTTTGCATTTCTTATTGTTCAACAATGCATGTTAAAAACTTATTTAAATAAAAAGTTCATTTGTTTAGGTGTTTATTGTTATATAGTTTGCTATGCTTTCAAAAAGATTTACAATTCGAATTTTAATTTGTTGTCAATGCCTTTCAAATTTTATTCAAAAAAATGTGTGGTTGTAGTGTAAAAATTTTTGTTAAAACGGCTGGTAACAAAAGAGTTAACCTTATGAAAGTTTAATTAATAGCATTTATTTGCTTAACTTTTCATCGTTTACAAGTATTCTCAAAATTCTTATTTAATCATGTGAGAATATATTTAATAAAATTTATTTTGTAAAACATGTATCGAGTAAGTTTTTAAATTGAAATCATTTAATGAAAAACTTTTTATTGTCAATTTCGGTAGTTTTTTGATTTGTAATTTTAAGAGACAGGTTAATATAAAATAACTGCCAAAACATGACATAAATTGAAAAGTATTAAATACAATATGTTTTTTAATGCGCGCTGCGACAATTTTAATTGCCATCTGTCTTTATTTATTGCCATAAAACATTATTGCTTTAATTAATTAAAAACTATCTGTAAATTTGTTAAGTGTAAAATCTATAAATATTTTTTAACTAAAAATTTAAGAATTCAGCAAATATCTCTAATGAATGATGTTTACCGAAATTCTTTATTAATTAAAAATTTAAGAATTTGTAAAATGTCATTTCGATAGGAGAACAAAAATGTCGTAGCAATAAACGGGTTAGATAAAATAAAAAAAAGTTCACATTGTTTATATAAAAAGAAAAAAAGATTCAGAAAATATAAAAGGTAATCAACGATTTTTTTATATATTCATTTAAAAAGTGTTTTAAGTTTAAAAAGTTTAAAAGTGTAATATAAATATCTTAATTTTATTTGGTTCTTGCGCTCTATAAAAAAAACATAATAGCTTCCTATAAAACAAGAAACTCTTATTACGATTAATACGATTTTTTTTTTTTATACTATTGATAATAAAGGCTTTTTTTTAAAAAAAAATAAAACAATAACAAATAATATTGATTAAAAAAAAAATTCTACAATGACGTCAGTTACTAAAACTCTTTGGAATTAAACGCGCTTGAATAAATTATTAAGTCTGTAGATTGCGGCGTATATTTTAAAGACTTTCAGAGAATAGCAACTGTGGAAACAGCAAGCTTCAAGTAAAACAACAAAGTTTGTTTTTGTTGTTATACATTTATTATTTTGTTTTACTTAAAAAAATTCTGCCCAAACATGTTTTTTTTATCATTCTTTTTAAAATAAACACAACTTGTCTCGGCACTTTGGGATCCCTTTAAAGGAGGACTTGTGGTAACTCTACAGTTACCTCAAAGTTACACAAAGCACCATAATATAAATCAGGTTATTTATTATTATATATATTTTTAAATTTTTCACCTAAAGTGGCAGATACAGCTGATGAGTTGGTTATAAAAGCTCAAATATTAGCTGGTGGGCGTGGTAAAGGTGTTTTTGAAAATGGTTTCAAAGGTGGGGTAAAACTGACAAAAGAGTAAGTGAATTTATTTTGTTATATTTATAAATATAAACATTGAAAAGCAATTGATTGGAATGTTCTTAAAGACATCTTGCAAAATATTTGCTTTAAATCAATTTTTTTTATAAACAAATAAAATTGGTCATTCTTTGTAAATACTTTTTAGCCTTTTACTTTCTTTAAAAATTTTTAGGCTAGCAATCAATCATGCTCCATAAACATTAAATTTTTAACTCCATTTTTTTTTAAATCGGTTTCCTGGTTTGAAATTAGATTAAAAAATTTTTTGGCAATATTTTATGAGATATTGCAAATATCTTTAGTAGCGATTTTTTTTACCTTTAAATATGATTAGGATATTATAGTTGCTTTAAAAAGTAAGTTAAAATTAAAAAAAAAAAAAAAAAAAAAAAAAAAGACTATGTACTTCTCAACAGTCAGAATATTTTTTGTTGATAAAAATTTTTTTTTGTTATTTATTTTCAGTGTGAATACAGTTGAAGACATTGCATCAAAAATGTTGGGTTTTCGGTTGACCACAAAACAAACACCTCCCAATGGTGTTCTTGTTAAAAAAGTAAATCAATTATGTGTTTGTTTTTTTTTAATAAAAAATTATTATATATAATAGCATAAGTTTTATGGTTTAAAAATATTGCGAAGATAAAAATAAAATAATAAGTAAATAAATTCTAAAGTATTCTTTTTTTTTCAAGAAGATTAGAAGAATGTTTTTTAGTACTTTAAACTTTCCAAAATTTTTATTCATTTCACATTTCTCCACAGATATTGCATTTAAGTATAGTAATGTTACGTTTCGGTCTGCGTATGATATGCAATGTTCCCCAATCACTCGATGGGTAATTGCCCAACTCCAATAAAGGTTACGCGTAGAATACTAACCACTGATACAAAGCGTTATATAATTATAATTTAACTCAAATATTACATATTGATACAAGTAATCCTCCTATATAATTCTCTCACTATATTACATACTATTGTACTACACATATATTTTCTCTATATCCTCCTATATATAATCATATATATTCCTTATATTATCCTCTATATCCTCATGTATCCTCCTCCATATATTCATATATGTTCCCCTTTTTATATTGTTTTCCAATTTTTCGATTCAGTATCAAAATGTACAGCATTGTCAAACCACAGCTAAATTTCTCCAATAATAAATCTCGTAAAATCGCGAATAACCAGTAAAAATATCGAATAAACAGGAAAAATAAACCGCATAATCCATAAAAATATAAACAGCAAAATTGCGAAAAACCAATAAATGTCAAATAGTAATATTAATAGTAATATTTATTGCTATAACAATTACATATTTGTTTAAATATAAATATTTAAAAATAAAATAAATTGTGGAACGCGATGCAAGCATCGGGTTATAGACAGTCCACACAAATTAAAAAAACACAAGTTATGAAAAATGTTTATCTATTCGCGCTTTGAAAACATTCAACAATGTTGCTTCAATGATTTCATTTGGTAACAAATTCCAATTTTTACAAACTCGATTGGTAAAGAAATTATATCTCGGTAAACATGATGGTACGTATTCTCTTTCTAGCCTGTATTTATTGACCCTTACAGAAAAAGCCGGGCCTGAACTAGTCACGGATGGTGCCGGTTTTGGATTTTTGTACCAATTTATTTGGTCTATATTTTGCTTAAATCTGTATTGTTGTATAAGATCTTCTCTAGCTCGTCTTTTCTCTAATGTTGTTAAACCCATTGCTTTCAGTCTTTTTTCATATAAAATCTTTTTATGTTGTTGAACTAACTTTGTTGCTCTTCTTTGCACTTTCTCTACCTCATCAATATCCCGTTGTAAATAAGGCTGCCATGCAGGTATAGCGAACTCAAGAAGAAAAGAAGAACTCAAATAACAGCGTAAAATCGCAAATAACCAATAAAAATCTCGAAAAACAGGATAACTGAGAATAACTCACATAAACAGTATAATCTATAAAAATCTTGAATAAACAGCAAATTTGCGTATCATCAGGTAGTTGCAAAACATAAAAAATTGCCATAGCATCACAAAGTTTATCATTATATACAAAAAACTCGTATAAATTTATTATTCTTGAGAAAGTTTTGTAAAATCATAATTGCAAGACAACATAATTGTAATACAGTTTCCATAAAACTCATTATCAGTAATCGTCATTGTATAACAGCATCATAAAATTTTACCATTGTAAAACATCACATACATTATATTACTACAGTGTTCATTTAACATGTAGAAAACTCATGGTAATTGGAAGCGTTTCACATCTCCATCCAGGAATCAAAATACCTGCCATTATTGTTGAAATGTTTTATTCTCAATTGTCTTTTCGTGTTGGGCATTTACATTGCATTACGCAAGGAGTATTTTTTTACTTTGGGGGACATTGATGTAAACTGGTCCTGTTGTGGTATTACTATAGTATCTTCCATCATTTTATTTTTAAATCTGGTAAGGCATAATTTATATTTGGCTTGTTTAAGATAAGATAAACTACTATTATAAAGACTGCTACCCACAGCACCTTCTCCAATATAAATACCTGTTGTAACCGTTGGGAGAAGAAACATACTTAATATAAGAGTTGGAATCATCATCTTCCATACATCCACAAATGATCTTTGTGGTAATCGATCTTTAGGTTGCCTATCTTTCTGTTTTGCTTGAACCATTGTTATTGCAGAGACCCGTAGAATTTTATTTGTTTCCTCCAGATATTTTTGTATTACCTGTTTATCGTAGATATTTTCTTCGGGCTCCCAGGTATTTTACGACGACGGGTAACCTTGCCATTTAACTAAGTATTGGATTTTACCATTTCTTTTTCTTTTGTTAACAATTTTTTCCATATTAAATATTGCTGATTCGTCATTTTCATTTTTGTGAAGGCTGTCTGCTTTATTGGATTCTGAGCTTTCAAATGTCACATGTTTTTGACTATTTTTCCCTAAAGTAAATTCTTCTATTGCTTCGTTGTATACATCAGTCTCTAAAATTATCTTTTCATTTGGTTTTTCCTCGAAGCCAAAATATTGTTTAAACCGGGACACATGAACTGGAGTTGCAAGCTCTTTGTTATTCATATTTTCTACCTTGAAATTCACTGGTGATGTTTTCTTGACTAACCTGAATGGACCATGCCAAGGGCTCGTAAGTTTTCTCACCAGCCCTTTTTTTTGTAATTGGTGTGTAAATCCAGACTTTTTGCCCAACTTGAAATGGATACTCTTTAGCTTGATCATAGTATAGCTTCATTTTAGTTAGGGCCTTTTGAAAATTTTTTATTTGGCTAGATTTCGTGCTAAACGTAGATTCGATAGAAGTTGTTGGATGAGCAAATCAGTGTTGTCAGAGGCATTGTTCCTAGGTAGCAAAGTAGTATCATGCGGTAGTAGGGGATCCCTGCCGTATGTTAATCTAAATGGTGTCTCTCCTGTACTAGCGGATACACTAGTGTTATATGCATATACTGCTGCAGGAATATGAACATCCCAGTCACGTTGGTTTGATGCAACATACATTGAAAAATTCTGAGCTAGGACTCCATTTATACTTTCCACAAAGCCATCTGTTTGGGGGTGATAAGCAGTTGTGAAGGACTTTTTTACATTTATTATTCCACACACTTCTTGTACCAATTTGCTAGTAAAATTACTACCTCTATCTGTTAGAAAACGTCTTGGCGCACCGTGTCGGAACACAATGTTGTCCACAAATAGTTCAGCAATTGATGTTGCGGTAATTGTGGGTACGGCATAGGCTTCTACATACTTAGTGAACAAACAACCAAAAACGATTATATAGCGGTTTCCTTTTAACGAAGGAGGAAATGGTCCCAAACTATCAGCTGCGATAACCTCCCATGGGCCTTCAACAGGGATTGGCAGTAGAGGTGCTTTGTTAGATATTGGGTTCTTTTTCCTTTGAGCACAGGTCGTACAAGATTTTACCCAAGTTTGAATGTCATTGTACATACCCATCCGAAAGTACTTGCGTCTGATTTTCTCGTAAGTTTTTGTTACTCCAAAGTGACCTCCACATGGTTCGTCGTGAGCCCAAGTTATTAACTCTGATCTTAGGGATTGCAGCACCACTAACAGGGTGTAATGCGTCGATGACCGTGAATCGTGGTGAAATAACAACCCATTTTCATCTAAATGATAGTTTCCTTATATCGCCAATACTTTCTTTGCTTCTTGTAATTCTTCTGGTAGTTCTCCTTTGGATAAATACGAAACTAAATGGGTGTAACACAGATCGTTGCGTTTTGCCTGATCTTTACTCTATTTCAAAATCATAATTTTGTAGCATCAAGCTCCATCTTGCTAGGTGACCAGTCGGATCTTTAATTAACATTAACCACTTCAGTGAATTATGGTCCGTTACTATTTTAAATTTTTGTCCATATACGTATGGTCTACATTTCTGCACTGGGACAATGACAGCCGATGCTTCACGTTTAGTTGTGGAATATTTGATCTCTGTGCTTGTAAAGTTACGTCCACAGTAAAGAATAACTTTTTCGGAGTCACTTGGCACTGCGCTAAGACATATCCCAACGCTTCACCGCTCGCATCTGAGTATATAATGAACGGTTTCTCGAAGTCTGGAAAGACCAAAATGGGTGCCGTTGTGAGGGATTTCTTGAGTTGCTCAAAACTGTTTTGCTGTTCATTTTGCCATTTAAAATCAGTTTTCTTTTTCAATAAATTGTTAAAGGGCAAAGCAATATTTGAAAATCTTTTAATAAATCTTCTATAGTAGATACACAACCCAATAAATGCTTGAACATCTTTGATATTTTTGGGTACCGGATAATCTTTAGCTGCTTTGATATTTTCAGGATCTGGTTTAATACCGTCTGCGTTAATATGTCCTAAGAATTTTACTTTAGATGTGCAGAAAGTACATTTCAGTATGTTTAATTTTAATCCCGCTTGTCATATAGCTCTAATTAGCGTCTCTATGTACCTAAGGTGTTCTTTGTATGTTTTTGAGTATATTAAAATATCATCTAAATAAAGCATGCAGTTTTTGTATAGATGGTCACAAAGTATATAATTCATCATACGCTGAAACGTTGAGGGTGCATTTGACAGACCAAAGGGAAGGATTTTAAACTGATATAATCCTTTGTGTGTGATAAACGTGGTTTTTTCTTTGGATTCGTTGTCGAGCTGCACCTGATAATATCTGCTTAAAAGATCCAAGGAAGAAAAATATTTTGCACCGTGTAACATGTCAAGAATCATCAATTCTAGGAAGTGGATAAGTATCTTTCTTTGTAACATTATTTAGCTTACGATAATCAATACATACTCTGAAATTTCCATCTTTTTTCGGTACCATGACTACCGGACTGGACCAGGGACTGATACTCGGTTCAATAACATCATTTGTCAGCATCTCTTCGATATGCTTGTCCAACGATTTCCTTTGAGAATCTGTAAGATGGTAAGCTCTTTGACGAATCGGCTGAGCATTGCCAGTATAATACAGTGTTGTATTACATCAGTTTGCCCAATTTCGTGTAAACCTTGACCAAAAACATCTTTGTTGTTTGTTAGTAAAGATAGTAGTCTTTCTGGCGGGGTTAATCAATGCATCTAGCTTGGCTTCAAGACTAGACATGGTCGAGTTAGTTCCAATAGTGTCCTGCAGCTTTGCAAAAGCTACCGCGGCTTGATAATTGACCGGCTGTTTAAGCTTTAGGGAATTCCGCAGATGAGGCTTCAATCCTTTGATAAATAAATTCAGCTTCGTTTCTCCATCAATACCAAGCTGCTGACTGAGTTTATCCAGCGTGTTAATATATGAAGCAAGATCAGCATCCTGTGATAAACCAAATAACTCCATTTTTCGGTTCCATGCGATATTTGCATTATCATAGTATTGCCGGAATTGCTCCTGAAGTTGATGAATATTGTTCCTAGTATGAGCGGGTTTCATAATATACTAAGGCACTACCTTCTAAGTATAATGGGAACGCAAGTAATTTTCTCATGTCAGTCCATTGGTTGTGCTGTGCTATTCTGCTGAAACTAGCCATTCGGTAAAGTCCTCTGTCTCAGTTCCTTTAAATGGCTTCGGTTGGACTTCTTGAATAGGTTTCAATGTTAAGTGTTCTAAAATTTGTTCAAGTGACATGTTGTTCTTCACTTCAGGATTCGTTTTGGAACGACTGGTTTCGGTTTTTAACGGATTGGTGTCTGAAAGATCTAAGGAGTCGGTAGAATCAGAGGAGTTGTTTAGAGAAGTGTGAGGATTACTGGCGGTACAGACACAATGATTAGGTTCAGTATACAGACAACTTTTACCCGATCGTAAACAAGTCATATATAAGCAGCAAAGTTAATATAATTCAAAATAATATCTGTAGCTCTGTTCCCGTGCAATTAAAATAAAAATGAACAATAGTTAACATTTACTTACGTAGTTTAATTGATCCGCCCGAGCAGAGATAGAATCCACTCGTAATCCGGGCAGTGCCTGCAAATGTTACGCGTCGGTCTGCGTATGATATGTAATATTTCCCAATTACTCGATGGGTAATTGCCCAATTCCAATAAAGGTTACGCGTAGAATACTAACCACTGATACAAAGCGTTATATAATTAAACTCAAATATTACGTATTGATACAAGTAATCCTCCTATATTATTCTCTCACTATATTACATACTATTGTACTACACATATATTTTCTTTATATCCTCCTATATATAATCATATATATTCTTTATATCATCCTCTATATCCTCATATATCCTCCTCCATATATTCATATATGTTCCCCTTTTTATATTGTTTTTGAAACCATAAGAGACGTCTCGGTTCAACGGTCTCTACTCATGTTTTCATGCTTTCGTAATTAATCTCCTCGCTTGATCATGTATTGTTTCTTTCTAACTATACGCTTGAGTGAGTATCGTTGCTACCTTCACAATAATTGCACATTTGACTAAGATTGTTACCTTTGTAACAGTAATATTAATCAAATTTTATATAATTATCACATTTTATATTTTATAAATTTATTATTACTTATTACAGCAATAGAGTGTTCCTGATGAATCTAAAAAAATACTGAAACTTTTTTCAAAGTGCATATTTAAAAAAGCTTCAAGGAAAATAAATGCATATTTGAAAAAGCAGATGCTTCAAGGAAAATGAATAAATTTTTGTAAACAACATTATTATACAGTTAAAAATTATATTTATTTTAATAGTTGATAAAAAAAAATTTTTTTAAAGTTTCTTAAATACAATTCATCTTTTAATTGTTGAAAATATCAGTTATTGTTTCTTTTATTCTCAAACTTTGTTATCAATTTTTTATTTATTTTCACTTTTAAAATCAAAGTTTATTAAAATATCTTTAAAACTATGCATCCCGTTAGGACCACACGATTTTTATGGTTTGATTTTAAAGTTAAAAGTAACAGTTGGGGGTTATTTTTGGTTCAATTTGATTTTTTTAAATCAGTTTGGTTCGATTTCAATTAAAAAAAAAAAAATATTGTTTTTGAAATTTTTTATTTTATAAATTTAAAAATAGATTTTAAATCCACTAAAAAAACTAAAAATTAGTTTTTATCTTTATAATGATTTTTTTTATAAAACAATCTTTTCAACATTCTCAGCAACTGGCAAATTAATTCTTCTGGCAGTGATGACTTTACCAGTATTACTAAAAATCTTTCTGAAGTTGCAGAAGTTAATAAGTAGATGAACTTGAAAAGTAATACACATAACTTTAAAATATTTTTTTCTTCTTCTGAAACTTCTGAAGTTGCAAAAGTTAATAATACGCATTTTTTTTTTTTTTTCGTGCTGTTTTTCCTCAAAAATGATTTCTAAGCACAATTTATTTGCTGTTGAAAACTGAAAAGTGTTTCAACAACTAAAGTGCTGAAGTATCTTGTTAAAAATTATCACTGTTATTACATTTTACAAGACCGATGTGTTCAAAAACTCTCAAAACTCCATTCTGGTGGACATTAAAGACTAAAATTTTATCAGTAAATACTTCATATTTTAATTGTTCATGAAATAATTTTGTTGAAAATTCTTTTTAAAAAGTTGTGCTTCAAGAAAAGTATTAATTTTTTTATTAATAACCTGTATATATCTTTCTTAATTTATAAGAAAGATATATACAGGTTGAATAACAGAGTTTGTAGTGATTATGGTAATGCAAATAATTTGTTTTTTGCTAAACTTACCCCACACAGCTGCTCAATTTACCCTGCTGGAGTAGGTTGAACAGCTTATAAACTTATCACAATATCTTCTCAAACAAATATAAAAACTTTTTTCCTTAACCAATTTTTATTTTTCAAATAATAAAAGATTTAGTAAATTTGACACAACATTCAAGAGATCTGTTAGATTTAGTAAAAATTGTTCAGCTAGCCCTGTCCTACCCTATAATTTTTATTAGTTAATAAAAAATTTAATTAAGTTTTTTATTAACTTAGATTAGATTCAATAGAATCCACCTTTTAATTGTTTTTTTATTTCCAAGCTTTGTTATTGATTTATTTTAACTTGTTTTTCATTTATTTTGACTTTTAAAATTAAAGTTTATTAATCTACTGATGTTTAGAATATTATTAAAGTTTTAAGTTAGTCTCATTTGGTGACAAACATTTTTTGATTAATTCAGGCCTATCTTTGTGATTAATTTTTCTTCTTTCCAAAAGATTATTCGCTATTTTTTTTTACTTAATTACTAATATTTTTTAATTACTTTATTGAGTATAATTAGAAAAATTTCTTAAGCAGTAAAAAATTTATAGTAAGTTATTAAATGTATTATTTTTACATTATTAAATGGTTAGTAATTTTTTTTTTTTTTTTTTGTAAATTTATTTGCCTTCAATAAAAGAAATTACAATTACAGAATAGCTTTATTACAAATATAATCGGTAGGACTTCCAGAAGATCATATGATCTTATCATGAAGCCTTTTACAATTACTTGAAAACCTTTACAATTTACTTTCAGGAATATTTTTAGAGTTTACTTAAATTTTTTAAAATTTAGATTCATATCTTAATTTTTTTTGATGCAGCAAAATGTTTTGCTTTGAATTGTTTTTTTTTTTTGTATGTTTGTTTAAAAGCTAAAGTTACTCAAAAAATTTTAGTTTTTTCTAATTACTGTTTTTAATAACAATAATAACATTTAGTTATTAATTTAATATGAACTATGTTTAGTAAATAGTTATCTAAAAACTATAATTTGAAAATTAAACATTTTAACATAATTGTTAAATAAGTATATATTTTTTTCAATCTGCAAGTTTTTTTTTAAATTAAAAACGTTTATTATAAGACCAACAATCGTCTTTGTTTATTACTGTTTTGTTATCACTTCTAAAAAACTTAATATTATGTTTATTATATAAAATTATATTTGCATTTTTAATATATACCTCATAATAGACAAAAAAAAAAAATTTTTTAACATATCAAGTTCAAAACTGTTTAACTTCATTATAAATAAGGATTTTTAACTTCATTATAAAAACTCAGTAAAACTTTTTATTTTTGCTAGTTAATGGTTTGTGAATCGTTAACCATAACAAGAGAGACATATATTGCCATTCTTATGGATCGCGAAGCAAATGGCTCTGTTATAGTTGCAAGTCCAGAAGGTGGAGTTGATATTGAAGAAGTTGCAGAAAAAAATCCATCAAAAATACTAAAAGTATAAACAAATAAATAATAATATTATATTATATAATATTATAATATTATAATATTAATAATATTATATTATATTAAAAGTATAAACAAATAAATAATAAATAAAAATTATTCTAATTTTATTTTTATTTTCTTAATCAATTTTAATTACTTTTCACCAATCTCACCTAATTAATCTCTTAATTTTTTAATCTTTTAATAAATATATTAATTTTTTTAAATCAATTTATTATTCTTATTTAGTTTATTAATCTCATTAAATTAAATTATCTCTTTTAATCTGTATATTTTCTCTGTTAATCTCTTGTAATCAATTTATAAATCTCCTTTAATCAAGCTATTAATGAGTTATTCCATAAGAAATCATCCAAAAAAACAATTTTTATCACATCTTCTAGAGTTTTTTAATTTTTACATCATTTGCAGTTCATTAAATAAATGGTAGTTGTTGAAAATTTAACAAAAAATTTATATTAGTTGTTAAGATGCTGTCAGCTGATTAGTGATCAGCATTTTTCCAGATAATCTTTGTTGTTGTGTCTTTAAATTATCACTAAAATCAGCATTTTAGTGATAATCTGAAGACACAACAAAGCAAATTTGACATTCCTTGATAATGGATCAGGGAATATTCTAATGTTTGAAACACCAATAGATTTTCGAAGAAAATCTATTGGTGTTTTAAACATTAAGAATATAAAAAATAAAAAAAAAGAAAAGAAAAACAAACTACAAAAAATATGTAAATAAAGTTACAAAATTTTTTAAATATTTCAGTCCATGTATCACCTTTTTTTTTTTTTTTTAGAGTTTATTGTATTTGAACTAATAAGAATAAAATAATGATGCCATTTTTGTGTCAGGAACTGTTCTATCAACATCTTTTTTTAGGTATTTACAAAACCCATGGCTATTTAGAAAAAAATATCTATACTGTATTTAATTTAAAATCTTTACTGTTTCTTACTGTAAATATTTACAGTAAGACACAGTAAAGATTTTTAAATTGTGCTGTACAAACATTTGAAAATACTTCACACATGATACATTAGATAGATTTTCTTTGATATGTCGTATCTCACAATGTATGGAATGTAAAATGATTCATTTTTTGCAGTAGAGTAAAATTCAAATATCTCAAGTCCAAAAAGCAAAAATGAACAAATTGAATAAAAAACAAAAAGAATCTAAGATATCAAAGCTATCTTCAATTTATTTTGTATAAAGATACCATATTGTCCTAAAAGTGTTTTGTATATAGAGTATTTACCATGTTGTCCTAAAAGTGTTTCTAAAAGTGTATATAGAGTGTTTACAATGTTGTCTTATTTTATTATGTGTTAGGAATATATACTTTTGAATGATTTAGTGTTAAGCAAAAACTACTTCAAAACTATTGACTGTGATTACTAAATGTACCAGATAATAGGTAATTTTTGCAAAGAACAAATTTTAGATTTATTGATATTAGGGGCTGTTGATGATTACAGGAGGGGTGGTGTTGCGCATTGATATTGAGTTTTATTTGGTCATCCAGTATGGTCTCATGTTTTTGTTCACTTTCAAATTAGGTGAATACAAAGCTAAACATGCTCACTTCTTTCACTTATGGCTAGTTCACAGGGCCAGACTTTAGGCCTAAAAAATGAAATTTAATATGATCGAATGGAGTCACAAGGCTTCACTATTAGTTAAAAGGACTCTTTACTGGTGTAGAATGGTGTGCTTTGAAGTGAGAATTTTGATCCAAGCACATAGTCAAGGAGCACTGATCCTATGTGCATTGTGGAGCTTCCAAATAAAAGTGTGCACAGTGTCAGTGTACTTATTAGGTTATTGAGCACTGTAACCACATCCAGCCATATAACCTAATGTCTTTTTTGTGGTAGTGGTGTACATTGGAAGATGTTAAGACTCACCAGTAACAAAGAATATATTTTTAGTTGTTTATGTGACACAATGATCACAAATAGGTTACCAACGCAGCCATTCAATTATGTAGATTTAGGAGGTGTGATAATAAAAACAGATTGTAAATGATCATTGGGTGAGAATCAGCAATGAATGCTAGGACTACTTAATAGGAAGAAAAAAGTGCTCTGGGGGAGGGAGAACAAAAGCTTATGGTCTAATTATCCTCAGCAAGTTATTAAATAATGACTATAAGTCTACATAAACCTGCTGATGTAATGAGTGCTCACATGACAAAAATATCAACAAAATGTTACAATAAAACAAATAAAAGATGGTGCAACTGAATCTCGCTAATATTTCAACAATGTAATATAAATCTAAAAAAACTCTTGAGAAGTCTGAGACCTGCATTAACTCTACTAGTCAGAGGCGTGTTCTGCACTCTATGTCATGATATTGCAATATAACTGGACTACACATTAAAAACTAATTTCCCCAAACCTTATCCCAACATTTAGTTTAGCTCCAACATTCTTAGAGATCTCCTAAAGGTGTTAAGTGTGTGGTGTGGCTATAAATAAATATATTAATACCTAGACATATAAATATCATGTAAATATGTGTATATACAATTGAATAGACAAATGTATACACATGTTCGTATGCGCATATATTAAAATAAACATGTGCAATATGTCTAAAAACAACACAAGGAACGTGGTAATACTGTATGGAATGTGGTAAATCCAATAGTATAAGAAATAATAGTCTTACCTGATAAGTGGAAAAAATTCCTTTCACATAAAACAGACTCAGAGTATAATAAAAAATGATTAGCAAGAGATTAAAAAATACACAAACATTAACTTAGTAGGCAGAGAATAGTGAGAAACTAAACAAACAATCAATGCGGTTTTTATTAATAGTTTATAACCACTGAACAACATCAGATTGAATATTGTTTTCAATTGTTGACAAGCAACAGAAAGATTTAAGAGACAAAACCATAAAAACCTAAGAAAACACCATTTGAATGGAAACAAAATGTCATTGATAAAATTTAGACATTTAGAGTTGTTGAATCTCACTATATGAGAATTGCAGAAAAATAGTTTTTTCTTCAGGAAATTGAAGATTAAAAAAATTAATACATAAACTCTTTTCGTACAGGAATAAAATGTAGATTTTGTCTTAAAAATGATTAATCTAGTCAGTTTTATCTGTTTTTCTACTGGAACAGAAAGGGAAGCTAAAAATATTCACTTGAGCATGCTTTGCTTCAAAATAGAAATTAAATTTTATTCTACGCATGCTCATGTAATTATTATTTCCTTCCCTTTCCCTTTCCCATTGAAATAATGTAACGATGTAAAAATAAAACAATTCTGCAAATGATGTAAAAATAAAACAATTCTGAGAGGTAAGTGTGACATGGTCTGCATAATTTCTTATAAAATGAGAAATCCTAATCTCATTTAGTTGATTAATCTCATTTAATCAATCAGTTAATCTCATTTAATCAATCTATTTATTTTATTTAGTCAATTACCTTCACAATCTTAATCTCTTTTAATTAACCCAATAATATTTGGTATACTATTTATCATTCTTTGTGGATATATTAATTAATTTCTGTTAGTCAATCAAATAATTTCTTTCAATTAATATGTAAATCTATATTATCAATCAATTATTCAATTTGTTAATCTGTGGTAGTTCTTTTATTTCTTAATCAATTTTTTGTCAATGGGGTAAAGCTATGTTGTTGTTTTTTAAGGAAAATATTGATATTGAAAAAGGTGTTACTTTAGAGCAAGCAGATAGAATTTCTACGTTTCTGAATTTCCAAGGAAAGAAGCACACGCAGGTACATACCCTTAAGTTGTTTGATTTTGGAATGTTTAAATGAAACCACATAAAAACTGTATTTTTTAGTTTGTAATTGAAATAATTTGAAAATCTTTCAGTAAACTAAGATTAAATAATTAAACACTTGGAGAAAAAAAAGTTAAACAACAAAGCATATTATATTAATTAAAAACCATTAATTAAAAATTATGTTACTTATGCGTAATACACAGAATGTTTCACAAACTTTTATATATATATATATATATATATATATATATATATATATATATATATATATATATATATATATATATATATATATATATATATATATATATATATATATATATATATATTATGCACTGCACTATTGGAATGAACTAAGGTGGGACATCCTGCTCTAACAAGCCTAGTTTCTCCAATTACGCTTGGAGCTCCATCCCAACCAGATCCTAAACGCAGTTATTATTCTCTTTGAATAGTTAAAAAAAAATGCACAGATTATTATTCATCTATCTTCAAATAGTGAGAAGTTCCTACCTTGATATCCATGTCTTAAAACAAAATTTCTGTAAGCCAAGGTCTAAAGTTTTGCCAAACCTCTAAAAGTAAATCTGCTATTACATATACACTACCCATTAAAATATGAAGTTCTGGTAAAGGGATTTGATGTTGAAATTCAACATCAAATTGGATCAAGTTCAAGATAAATTAGGCTGAAAATATCAAAGCATAAAATAATGTTAACTGTTTGATAAATGGTAATTCATTTCTTTCATGTTTGCTCCATATTTTTCAAAATCAAAGTACTGGTGATCTGTAATTATTAATGATGTTAACATAAATAACTGAATAAATTCCTCTTTTTAAATAAATAATGAAATATATATTATTATCTAGGCTTCTCAATGTTCTTGGCTTTCCAGCATTTACTTCCACTTCACCTTTACAGTACACGCGCGCATATTTTCTACGATGAGAGCTAATTCTCAAAATAACGTTAGCTAGCTTAAAATCAAATGTTAAAAAGTAATTTTTTAAACCAGCTAACCAACTAAGTTAATTAAAAATTTAACCAAGTAACTGAAACAGTTAAGAATTTAGCCAAGTAATTGAAACATTTAAGAATTTAACCAAGTAATTGAAACAGTTAAGAATTTAACCAATTAACTGAAACAGAATTTAATGAAAAAATATATTTCCTATCATTGTTGTCAATTTTTAATTTTGTTAAAATTTACTATCAAATCTTTGCAAAAAAAAAAAAAAAAAATCACGTTTTATTTAAATAACCTGCAAAGAAAGAAAGTTGGTCAAGATTTAGTTGGTCAATAATCTTTTTCACATTTTTGTAATTTTCTGGTATATTTGCTACAATTGCTAAAAATTGAACTTTTTGAACACCGGAATCCATATATAGATTTTTGAAAGTGGTTATCTCTTTTTCATCAATATGAAAGACATTAACACATATCTTTATAAACCCACTTTCATAATCTATTGACACTCGCACTAAAATCACTCGCACTAAAGATCAAGTCCTCTGTTACTAATTATAAACAAAATCAGATGTGTCTTTCACTGTAACACCATTTCTCTCAACCAAACAACCACCTGATTCCTCAAACTTACAGAACATTATAGTTTACAGAACATTATAATTTACAGAACATTAAATTGGTCTCCAGATTTATATTGTCTTCCAAATATATTGTTCTCAAAACTACTTTGTCCCACGTCTTTCAGCTTGGAGAAAAATAATTTGGTTCCATTATCGCTTACATCATTTGCAACTTGTAACTGCATATTAGTTTCAAGAGATACAGGTGCTATGGTTCTGCAAAGAGTTATATCATCTGATACACCAACTTGAACTGTAAGTTTGTTTTTACCAGTTAAAAACATCATTTCCTGTCCATTAAGAATATTTTTGTTTTCCATTTTATGTTTAAGAATATAAATTACCATTTTTTCTGCGCACTTTAAGTCCCCATTACCTCCCAATGCATGATTAACTAGATTTTTAACTTTTTCCTTTTTATTGCATGGATGAAAGTTTTTCTAGCCTTAAATTGAATTAAGTTTCATAATTTTATTAATATTTTATTTAAAAGTTTATTTAAATATTTTCTAAACAATTTAAATTTAAATATACCAACAAAAGCAAAACAGTAAGGTCATATTGGAAATGTTTCTTCTAGATTGGGAATATTTTTGATTGGTATAGGAGTTAAACTTGCTCTTGTTTTGACCAATCATTCTAAATTGCATAGTTAAAAAAACTTTTATAAATATAATTTTTATAAGTTATTGGATATATTTTGAAAAATGAAGTATTTTTTTTACCTGTTTAACTTGAAGCAACCATATTTCTGGAGTTTCTTTTTCTTGCGCTTGTTGATATAAATTTCTTTTACAATTAACACATACATGGTTTAATGCATCATTTAATTTAGAATCATATTCAATATATATACATATATAAATAAATAAATATATATATATATATATATATATATATATATATATATATATATATATATATGTGTGTATATATATATATATATATATATATATATATATATATATATATATATATATATATATATATATATATATATATAGTGGTGGGTTGAGATTTAGTGTTGTGGGGGGGGGGGCATAGGAATGAGTAGAGGCAGACAAGGGTTGTGGGCAACATATTACCCCTAGAAGCAAGCATTAAAAAAGAAATTTATTCTCCTGCTAGTTTATAAAAAAAATTTCTGCTGATTTCATTTTCAGCGGGTACAGAATGTTTGTTAGAAGTCTTAAGAATATCATAAGGATTTGTAATGCTTACACAGATGTCTTACGGGTGTTTGTGTCCGCTGTGTTAAAACAATATGTTTTATTGATAATGCAAAGTCAATTCTGTCAGCAAGCTTATATTCAATTAAAGTTATTATCAATCCAAAAAGACATTGTTTTGTCATTGTTAATCACAGATAATTTGTGATCTTTAGTCTACTAAATTTTCTTTCATCATAAGCAGAATTAAAAGGAAGAGTCAATTTTGGTTTTGTAGAGTAAAGACAAGTTAGCAAAACACGATGTCATCTTTTTTTTTTTTATTAAGAATAGATATCCATCTTTCATTTATAATTCGGTCGTCATTGCTGGAGATATTGATGCATACATATATTTAGTACCAGTGCGATTAGATTTCAAGTGGGGAGGGGTTGCCACACAGGTTTTTGCAAAAAACGTTTTTAACGTATAAAAAAAAATTTAAATTGTTCCATGATATTAAATTGATTATAAGAGATATTTTCTTTAAACAAAATGCCTGTTTAGTTATGCCATGAATAATAAAGAGTTTGAAAAAAATTAATATCTCATAAAATACACATATACAACAATAATAACTTCATCTGACTGAAACCAGGCCAATATTTTTGAGGTAGAAATGTGTTTTGTCAAAACGAGTTCCAAGCAGGGAATAGTTTTTCAATCAATCAGCTCTTCATAGCTTGTTGCTTGAAGTCTAATTTCAGAATTTGGAATTTACGATTTGGTATGTCATTTTCCTGTGCATGTAGAATTCTTTTCAGAGCAAGTCTACGAATTACTTGAAGGTTGTATATCTCAATGATCTCAATATGAACTGGATAACTATTGTGCTTCAAAACTTGTTGAACCTCAATTCTGTACTGCATAGGAAGAAATCGTGATGTTTCTATCATTTTGTAATAGTGTGGTACGGCATTTCAACAGTTTGAATATTTTTTTACATCAAACCATACAACTGCATAAGAATTCACGATAAATTTAGCCAATAGTGTAAGTTCATTTGATGGAGCTGCAGTAGATATATATAGACGCAAAACACAATTTGTAAGTGTCAACCACCTTGCATGGTTTAGCCAGCCAGGCAATCTAGATTCAAATCCCTGTGGTATAATCCCTGTCTTTACTGCATTAACAATTTTTAAAAAGTACAACTGATCACTGCCTAATAAATCTTTATCACAATTAATAGGTTCACCAGCAATAACAGCAAAGTTGACTATGGGTTGCTGCAATAGCTTTAAAATAGATTTGCCAATAGGTCTATTAAATGAATGTGATACAGTTGTTGTATCATCTAAGGAACTAATTAGATGTCGCAAAGGAAGCTCATTCGGATGTAAGATACAAATGGACCAGTGAAGTGGACAACCAAGTTCATTTCCATTCTGCGTATAACTCCATTATTTAAACCAGTGTTAATCTTTGTTAAATCTGAACCAATACAAACAAGGTTAGTACAGTCTACTGTATCAAGAATTGATTCTGCAATGGATTTAGCTGTATCACTTACTGGAGAAGAATGGTCAATGTAACTTGATCCTGGCTCTGTAATAGAGAAATATGTTCTTCAGAAACTACAGTCTGCCGATCTCCAACAAGTTTTAAAGTCTGATCTTTTCTGCCATCAAATACAACCCAGAAATCTTGAAATCAATATATTTATATGCTGATCTCAGAAGTTTTTTTTCTCTCCAAATTTTATTGCGATCAACTGGTCCCATATGTTCTAAACCGAAATCAACAAGAGTTGCTGATACTAATGCAGCAACTGCACGATCTGAAATGCTAAACCCATCTGCTTGTAATGCAATATTTCTAAGGCAATGTTTTTTGAGACAAGAAGTTTAGGGTATTTCATTTGATGTATCATATAATGCACAAGGGGAATAAGTTTCTGTGTCAGAATCACTAGTTGTTTGAACTGTATCATCTGAATCTGATGCTTCAGCTACTCTGACACATTTGTTACTGATTTAATTTGTTGATCTTAACACTGATTTCCTTTTTAGACGCCTTTCAGCAAGTGCAGATTCCTTCATATCAACACCAGTTATTTGACCAATACGTGCAGTGCAATATGAAGGTAGTCCCAATTGAGCATATTTATTATACAGATCAGCATCTGTAAGATGCTCAATTGCGACTACCTTCATATTAAGAGGGCAGCAGCAAGATGAAAACTTT